AGAGCTGTGACAGAGGAGCTGCTGCTCACTGTTTGCTTCTGGTTCACTGTGCTCGCTTCCCTCATAAGTAGACGTCAACATAAAGGTCTGGATCTGCTTCAGTAAGCGCTGCTCTCCCTCCTGACTGGTGCAGAGCTCCTCCTGCTCCTCTTTAATGTGTGGAGGCTCTGGACCAAGGGGGTCCAGACTGGGGTTCCTCTCCTGGTCAGTGAGAACCTCCTCCTCCTCCTTACAGACATGTTGCTGTGGAAACTCTGGAGGAACAAAGAGACACAAGAAATCACTTGTGTGATGATGGAGAAACAAACGTCTCAGCAGATACACATCAGTGCTGTGTCATCAGGACCAACAAGTTATCAGTAAGATTAAACCTAAGTTTAAACAATAATAATAAACTTCATTTATATAGCACCTTTCAAAACAGCTTTTTAGCAAAAGGAAAATACAAGAGAGACAAGTGGGCTGGAGGCAGTGACAGACAGACATCAACATTGAGGTGCTCAAAAATTAAGTCATATACAAGTTGGTCACACAAAAGCAGAAGAGGGACAATACAAAATTAAATAAGTAAAATAAAAGGTGATAAGAAAATGATACAGTTATTTAGAAAAGTGTCATGGGTTCAGAAAAAAAAGATATTTACACGGGTTAAAATCCATGAAAAGAAGTATGGATGACCTCTTGCTGTATGTAACGTGATTTGCTGCCTGATGTCATTGAATAAACTTGTAAAGCATTTTAAAAAACCTGCCACACATCCTGTGAGGTGTCGGAAAAGAAGGATGCTTCACGCCTCTTTAACTTTAACCTTCATGTTGTCATATAAAACTACCTTTTTACTCTTTCCTTTCTCCTTCAGTCTGTTTTTAGTGTCTGGGTGGTTTCAGTTAGCCGGGGCTGGGAAGCTCTGTTGGACTGGCAGGTGTGATTAAAAAAGGGAGGGACCAGCTCCTCTGGTGCATCGATGTGCACTTCAGGCAGTTTGTCAATAATATATATGCAACAATCCTGCGAGAGCCAGACATGTCCCTCTGCTCTCACTGTGTCAGATGATCTGCGATGAGGTGGTGGACAAACAACCAGTCAAAACAAGTGAAATCCTTTATGAGTCCTATGAGTCCTGTTCCTGTGTTTTCATTGAGTGTGCTTGTCCTCACCTGTCCGCTGTAGCTCTATCTCAGGTTTCCAAACGATGTCCAACAGTCTGCGCTGACGATCGATCTCTTCATTGAAGTCGATAATATTTCCACTGACTCCAGGGATTTCTACAGCAGCAGCTGGTCGCTTCACATCCTCTTGGTCCAGACTGGAGTTCCTGTCCCGGTCACAGAGCTGCTGGGCAGCGAGAACCTTCCTCTTCTTCCAGACATGTTTCCGTGGGAACTCTGTACAGGGAGTCCAAATAACAGCAACTGAGAAATTGCGGACATTCTGCGGAGACATCGTACAGCTGCTTTCAGATGTGTGGACTCAAATGTCAGAGCGAGACTCAGCTTGTCTGTCTCATCCTTCACTCCTGTATAAAGTTTAAATCCAGGAGGACTGAGGACACAGCAGAGGACCCTCCACTGATTCACTGAGTGAGTGGGGGGGTGATGAGCTTCTAACACGTGACACAAACATGAAGAAACAAAACAAATGTCTCTTCATCAAGTCCATTCAGCTTGTCCTCACCTGTCCTGAGTTAGCATCATTAAGTCCATTCAGCTTGTCCTCACCTGTCCTG